GTTCTTCCGATCTGGGGGGGGGGGGATTTTTTTTAATGAAGCCGTTTTTAAATTAAATAAATGTATGTACGTAACTGCTTTAAACTCATGTTTATTACTGTCAATATTTTTATGTGAAGCGCGTTGAGCCCTGGGCTGCGGTACCGCGCTATGTACGACCACTGCAGTAATAATAATAATAATGAGACATTTTAAAATACGACAGGCCCTATTATTGTAAATGTGCTCCTCTTCCTCGAGTGATCAAAACTCTAGGACAGGCTCCGTGCAGTATTTGTAATACTATTACCATTTTAATGAGGGACGGTGCCATTTAACTGGACCAGTGATTTGATGTCATTTGGAAGAGAAAAAAAATCCATCACCTTTAAATGCAGCTGGTCTCCAAAAGTCACGTGACGGTTCTGATGAGAGGGCCTAAGGCAGTGGTTCTCAACCTTCCTAGTGCCACGAACCTTTAAATACAGTTTCTCGTGTCGTGACGACCCCCAGCCACACAATTATTTTCGTTGCTACTTCATAACTGAAAGGATATGTGTTTTCAGGTGGTCTTAGGCGACCTCTGGAAAAGGGTCGCGTGACCCCTTTGGGGGTCGCGACCCACAGGTTGAGAACCGCTGGCCTAAGGCATGACCAGACGGATTACAAGATTAAAACGGCCATAGTAAATCAATCATGTGCAAAATAACAGGGAGTAAAATTACGATAAAAACCCAGTAAGATACTGACAAGGAGATTTATACACAGACACGACTCAAAGAGGGAAAAAGGGGGGGGGGGAGTAGTAGGCTCAGGCCTACATATAATTATCTCTTTAATTTAATCATTATTTTTAGTTATACAAGAACGTGCATTAATTTTTGAAAGTGATAAACAGGTACAGTTAGAGTAACTTGAGCTAAGGGACCATCAATAAATTACCTCAGTCATCTAGGGAAGAAAAAAAAGGTAGAGGGGGGTTTGACCAATTTGTGATGTGTTAGTGTTATAAGTATAAGGGTGTCTAAAAGTGTGACCAACTTTTAAGAAATAATTTTCTTGTGTTTTATATTGTAGGCCCTACTTTCACGGAGGAAGAGATTCAAAAGAAACATTCAATTGTCTTATGTTTTCCACGCTCAACATATCTTGTTATGAATATTTCTTTCAGGTCAATTCCAGCCAAAAAACCTGATAGCAACTTAGAGGACTTAAAATTCATCTGGTCGTTTCTTTTTGCAGGGGGTCAATGGAGCATCCCACAAGTGTTGGAAAGAGTCCTCGATGTGCACTTTGCCAGGGGCTTGTAAACATGCATTGCCAGGTAATCAATCACACAGACAAAGCTGACTATAAAGTTTACAAGATGTAAATAAAATACTTTGAAATGTGAAGTTCTAGTTACGAACAGTGTACAGACGTGAAGTTTTTTTGTTTTTTTGTGTGTCTACACTTGATAACAATCTATAGTTTATTTGGATTATGGATTTAAGTACCTATCTTACAATAACAACAAAAAAAATAGGCGGTTATATCCCACAGCACAGCAAGTTTTGATAGCTATAGCTTCAAAATAGCAGACACGCATGAAGGCCAAGCCTTTTGCTTAAAGATATAAGCAGAGATATAAACATCAATTACATGGGATAATGAAACTAAACCAGATAGACTAATCAGTAAAGATATTTTAACTTTATAAACTGCCCTCATTTCGTTTGGGGTATCTCCACCCTCATTTCGTTTGTGTTATCTCCACCCTCATTTCTGTTGGGGTATCTCAATAATTAACTGCCCTCATTTCTGTTGAGTAATGTTAGCCCGCTTATAGAAAACTCAACATTTTGATAGAACAGGGGTTTACATAAATTTGCTTCATGCACCAAAACAAAGATGCACTTGGATTAGTTGTGGCATTGCTTCTTCATAAACCAAAACAAAGATGCACTTAGTCCAGTTGTTGCAGATTTGGAACAGTGACTGAACATCCACACATTACCTGATTCAATTGCAAAGAAAAACAAAATCAATTTGTCATTTTAATTTTGTTTAATAAAACTGACCCGGAATGTTTCAATTTCTTTAATATCAACAAATAATAGATGTATAATAAATATAAATGGATATAAGAATAACATTATTTGTGAAAAGATAACAAAAATCATCATTCATAAATGAGAATAAAACAACATAAAATTTAAGGTTTGATTTGTGTACCGGTATAAAAAATAAGTATCCATATCCATTGAATTGGAATAGATAGAAGTTAGAAGCTGTAATTAACTTAGAGCCAGTGGAAACTTATTGCACTTTAATAAGCTCTCTTCTCCAAAAGAAATTCTTTAAATATAAATAAACATTTGGATCATCAACAAAAATGAGGTAATGCTTTCTCCTTTCAGTTTTGTTAGTTGAATAAAGCAATAAAAAATTACTGCATATATAATATTAATGTATACATAACTTATTTTTTCAATCACTTATTTTTAAAAAAAATTTTGGCAAGGTCAATAATTAATATTAATTTAGGATAACATTTCCTGAAAGGTTATATACATTAAGAATATTTTTAACTGAGTAATTAGTTAAAATGAATATCTGGTGGGGTAGATCTCATGAAGCTGAAATGGAGTTCACCTAAGGAAAAATAAAATTAAATACATCAAGCAAAAATCAAGTTGTTTATTTTTATTAAACTTTCGTTGCTAATATGTTTGGTGCACATTTGATTAAGCTTTTTTAAAGTTATCTTACATCAAGGATTCATAAAAAAATGGCATCCCACTATTTTGGCCTATTTTTTTACTCTTTCTTCCCAACCCGACAAACTTCTCCCCAACCAGACAAACTTCTCCCCAACCAGACAAACTTCTCCCCAACCAGACAAACTTCTCCCCAACCAGACAAACTTCTCCCCAACCAGACAAACTTCTCCCCAACCAGACAAACTTCTCCCCAACCAGACAAACTTCTCCCCAACCTGACAAACTTGTCACAAAATGTAGCTCCCCTCACATGTTGTCATTTATGGAGGGCCTAATAAGAGTACTAAGATAAACAATTGAACTTTTGGTAGATTTTCTATTTATCGACTTAGGGAGATATTTTACTTAATGATGGCATGATGATGAAATTTGCAAGTTGATTTTGTATTTTGACCAAGAGGAAATATGGCTGTACACTCAGTAGGCAATTGCATCAATACAACAGCAAGCCAGATGAGCAGGACATTGCATTTGTAGGGCAAAGGCACTAAATAAGTTAAGAAACACGATGGAGCAGAACAGGGGAATTTTGGGGAAATAATTCCTAAAGGGAATCCTACAGAATGGATAATAAGATTGTGGAGAAGTACAGCCTATAGAAAATTAGCAGAGGGTCATACAGCTAACATGCAGTAATACAGTAGAGCATTAAGGCAGTAGTGCAGTATCACAGTATAGCATTGAGTAAGTAGTGCAGTATCACAGTAGAGCAGTAGGGCATTTACCTTTAAGTCCTTATAAGTCAGTGAACTATTCACAAGTATCAAAGCCTGACAGAAATAACTTCTACCTGGGTGTCATGAACAGCCTGCAACAGACCTAACAAGAGCTGAATGAAGTTATCAAAGATCCAGTAAAAACAAATATATTGTAATCAAAGATTGAACCAAATTCCTGAAATTTTATAGTTAAAATTATTTATTTTTTAAATACACTGCTTTATTAACTGGCGACATAAAATTATTTGATCTTTACTGCCATGTTTTCAATGAAAATAGTAAGAGTTATAGTCACATTCAGTTTAAACACAGTTAATTTTCAATTTTTTCCATTAACTTGATTTTTTTTAAAATGTTTCTTAAATTTTTGGGTAATGAATAATTTCTTATGATATCTTACAACAAAGAGCTATATATGAAATACCCAGTAATAACAATAATTTGTAAATACAGTTTATGTATTGATATGTATATTTAAAAAAAGAATAAAGTATAGAATGTATGAATTATTGACGATTTAAACAAAAAATAAATAGTTTTAAGAATAATTAAGTTTCACATCTTTCTCCTACCTGCAGAATTTGTATCTTTTTTACTCTCAGTGGATATGTGTAAAGAGTTGGACAGAATTAAGTCCCTCTCATCTGCAGCACTCTGTGGCACAGCACTTTCATAGCGTATCAAAAGATTGGCTGATTTGGATGGCCTCAGCAATCGCCGGATAATAAAATATGAAGCACACAATAGCATCTGTTTGACATGGAAATTGTAAAAAAAAAATGAAAAATGAATGTCAACATGTCATCTGTCTTGAGAATTGTAAAAAATGTGCACAACTATCCGTTACATCAAGTGTACTTCAAGTTTAAGAGAGTATTGTTCTAAAAAATAAAAAGTGAACTGAATGGCAAAATATTAAGTGTTTTAAATATAAAAATAGTCATCATGGAAAAATGTTAAATGGTTTTAGAGAATTGTTTTTTAAAATGATTAATTCCATCCACCTAATCATCTTGAAATGATTTTAAAAAAATAATAAACACATTAAAAAATTATTGCCAAGTAATGAGGGATAAAGTTAACTTTTTTCAAGCAGAGAAGGGTTTATTTAAAAAACAATCTGATTGAAGCTTACCACAGCAAAATTAATGCCAGTCACAACAGTAGTACCATATCTAAAGCCAATTTCTTCTACCAGCACACCAGCCAGCATGGGACCTGTGAAAGCTCTAAAAAAACAAAACATGACATGATAAAATAAAAACTCTGGGTGTTCCATAACAAACCTAAAAGTACTAAAACATTTTTAAAAAACAATACTACATTACTGTTATAATATTATCCGTTAGTTTTGAAATAATGCCACATTACTGTCTAAACATTACCCTAATTTTTAAATACCACCACATTACTGTTTATTTCAATAATATATATTTTGTAAAGGTCATAACCTTAATATTATAAGCATTCTAAAAAATTTAATTATTTTAATTCCAATAAAAAGTAGACAATATCTGGTAGTAAACAGACTTACCCTATAGAGAAGACAGAATTAAATAAACCAGAGACAACACCAAATGTGTCCAGATTGTTTTCAAATCCTATATCTCTGAAATGATCAAAGGATGGGCTTTACAAACAGCTAACAAATGTTTTTTGAACTGTAAATAGGACATAAGTGGTGGATGCAAGGAAATAAGGGGTGGATTCAGGGGAAATTAAGCATGGATTCAGGGGAAATCAGTCATGGATTCAGATATATGGAATCTATTGGTGATTCAGAAAACATGTGTCAACTAACTGCTTAAAAAAGAAGAGGCCCATAGAGAGAGAGAGAGAGAGAGGGGGGGGGGGGGATTCAGGGGAAGGCGGGGAGGGATTCAAGGGAAGTCAGTCATTAGGACGTAAGTGGTGGATGGAAGGAAAGAAGGGGTGGATTCAGGGGAAGTTGATCATGGATTCAGGGGAAATCAGTCATGGCTTCAGGGGAAGTTAATGTTGGTGTTAGGGGAAATCAGTAGTGGATCTCAAACTGAATATCAGCAAACCTATGTATTAATGAGTTTCAATAAATTCATGTCACCCTGAATTCGATGTGGCCAATGTGTTTTGATATTAGAATACTCACTATATAACTAGTCTTTCTTCAAGAGTTACAGACTGACCATAAGTAACCTAATGAGGGCAATTGACCATAAATTACCAAATACCCACTAGACTTAACTAAAGGCTAATTATTATTAACAAATTTCCACTTACATTGCACCTATCAGCATGCACTTCATTGATGGCACAACTAGTGTCCCAAAGAATGCTCCAACCATTATTAGCCCTAATATTATGATCCATAGCTCACTGCAAACAAGAGCAGCCAAAAGTTAAAGATAATACTGAAGTAAAATGATTAGAAGAAATCTTTATAAAATTTTAACTGTTAGATATACATCAATATATAAATTTATTATTGAATTTATATTTATGTCAAATTTGAATTTGTGATTATAATATATATTCCAGCTTTGGGGACATAATTTCATGTCAAAGCAGACCGTAAATGGTTGTTCCCCATTTAAAACTCACAAAGGTAAAAATGGTAGAAGTGGACTTGGTCCAATAAAAAGAAAACCAATGCCACACATTAGATTTCCAAGAATGATCAGGGGTGCATTCATCCCCTGAAAGAAAGTTAAAGAATGCATGCATTATATAATATCTTTTTGTATCAAGTGTGAAAACATTGTTGTTTAATATTTCACTCTAGTGAAAAGTGGCAATAGTTGTTTATTTTGTTTTATATTGCTTTAAATTTGTTAACACATAAAACACTGGGTACTAAAAAAATTTTTTTTTAATTACATGTATAAGTAAAATCTACAATCCACTATGGAGTGAGCTATGTTATATTTTTATTGGGTCAGGCTGTAGTGAAACAAAGAGTGCATTAGTGCAGTTTTTTTAGGGAGTTATATCAGCACAAGAACACTATATTCAATCAAGGACTAATAAAAATAATTTCCTTAATTTATCAAGTAACCATTACAATGATTTTCTGAGGGATAATTGCAATAATATATAACCAAATAAATTTGTATGTCAGTGGTTCTCAAATGGTTTAGATTTTTGGACTCCCTCAAGCACAGATAATTTTCAGTTTTCTCCTTACACCATGATGAGGTCAAATTAAAATCCTTGACACCATCATAAAATAAAGAGTGTCTATTGTTATCTGGAGATATGTTTCTGGGTATGGCCTCAATCATGTTTCTTATCTAATTTAATTTTTTAATTTACCCAAATAAATCTGAGAACTTAGTCTATTCTAAAGAAAACTTTTGGAAAGTAATCAGGCCCACACATAAATTGTTTATGCCTGCCCAGGTTGGGAACCACTGATTTCTATACTTACCGTAGAGTCACTGATAAATCCCCATAGTGGTGAGGTGAGTCCGTAGAGACCAGGAGCTATGACAAAAAATAATCCAACAATGGCTGTGCTTAAATTAAACTGAAATACAAAGTCATCAAAACACACTGAAACACGGAATCATTAGTATTAATAATAATCAAACTGAAAAAAAAAGCTTGCAAAACATGAAAACAAAATAAATGTGAAAATACATTTAAAAAATGTATTATCTGCATGTGACGGTAAATGATTTGGGCTGCGTCCCTTGGGGTTGATTTCCTCACCCAAAAGTTTAGTGACATTATCCTCCGCGACACATTAATTATTTTTATAACTTGAATCATAGAGTCCCAGTCATTTTAATAAAAATGTTTTTTTTTAAATCACACAATTATGAGTTGTGTTTTCCTCCTCCTTTTAGTATGCAGTGGTTAGCCCTACAGGACCTAGCTAAATATTCTGCCATCCCAGCAGTCTGCAGTTGTCAGCTCGGCTTGTTGACTGCAGAGAACTTTTGCCTCTCTCCAGGCATGGTTATTCGGTATTTAGGCTGCTAAAAAAATTATTCTCTTCCTCATGAGAAAAGGCTTAATAGGACAGATTTTTATGAAAGGTTAAAACAAAACTAATTCAAGAACTATTTAACTGGAACCTTATTGTAGCATCAAGAGAGGCAAGCATTAGCAAAGAGAGTTGTAGACAAGAACTGGCAAAGAGAGTTGCAGACAAGCACTGGCAAAGAGACTTGCAGACAAGCACTGGCATAGAGAGTTGCAGACAAGCACTAGCAAAGACAGTTCTAGACAAGCACTGGCAAAGAGAGTTGCAGACAAGCACTGGCAAAGAGACTTGCAGACAAGCACTGGCAAAGACAGTTCTAGACAAGCACTGGCAAAGAGAGTTGTAGACAAGCACTGGCAAAGAGACTTGCAGACAAGCACTAGCAAAGACAGTTCTAGACAAGCACTGGCAAAGAGAGTTGCAGACAAGCACTGGCAAAGAGACTTGCAGACAAGCACTGGCAAAGAGAGTTGCAGACAACCACTGGCAAAGAGAGTTACAGACAACCACTGGCAAAGAGACTTGCAGACAACCACTGGCAAAGAGATTTGAATTCTAAATGATAATGTCAGTAAAAAATTATGAGTTTTCCTTATGTGATTTAACAAAGAATAGGTTGATTAACACATTTGGTTACTGGTCATGCATACCTCTTCTACATGTTTTGAAAAGGTTGGATCCAGAAAAACAATGCCGATACCTCCAGCCATTATGCTTAACGATGCAAACCAAACCATGGGGCTTTTTAACAGTGAGAATACACTGGTCTTTCTCTCATGTTGGACATCTGTTGAACATAAATAATAAAACCATTTTATTTTTAAGCTGCATGACATGGGGGACTCAAACATAAAAGTTACTGCAGCAGAACAAATTAAGAGAATAACAATGTATTTTATGACAAACTAAGATAGTCCATAGTTCAGATACTTCAAATATGACACAACAAAATTACCATTATTTAAATAAAGCAGACTTAAAATTACCAGTATTTAAATATAGCAGCCTCAGAATTACCAGTATTTAAATATAGCAGCCTCAAAATTACCAGTATTTAAATATAGCAGCCTCAGAATTACCAGTATTTAAATATAGCAGCCTCAAAAATTACCAGTATTTAAATATAGCAGCCTCAGAATTACCAGTATTTAAATATAGCAGCCTCAAAGTTGTTTAAAAAGAGTTATTTTTTATTTGTGCTTACTTCAGAGCCTGGAGCAAGCTGAGTGTTATGCCTCCTTAATGTGTCCCAAGGTCAAACTCACTGAGTCTCTCCACCAATCTAGTAATAAAGCCTTACCACACCCCCACCCTACCCCCTACTACTCCACTGCTGCAGGTGTAATTACATAAATAGTTTGCATATTTTACTTCAATGAGAGTTGTTTTCATCCTTCAGAGGTATCAGAGCAATAAAGAAAAGAACTACATACTATTTATTTCTCTCATCATAAAGGGAAATAGTGAACAAATTTTTTCACTACCAAAATAGTTATAGGGACTGGTTTATTAATTACATTGTTACGTTGTATCGATCTTTATAAGTAAAACTTATTTCGTGAAGTAAAAATCAACAGTTAAGCAATGAAATTTGAAATATTTAGTTTACGATTTTCCCTGAGATTTGCATGCCAGGTGTAGCTGACATGCCTGTGTTTGCCCCCCCCCCCCAACCCCACCTAGAGTGCATTACTTATGTTCAAATGATTTGTTCTTCTCCTTCTCTTCTTCCAATCCAATAGTGCCCAAACTAGTTATTCTCCTTCTCTTCTCCCCAACCCCACCTAGAGTGCATTACTTATGTTCAAATGATTTGTTCAATGTATGGTAATGAAAATCCATCTCCTGTCTCAAAGATTAATAAGACCTTAATTATTCCATATGAAATTCAAAAATCTATTCCATACAATTTTTATAATGAATCAGTTGTAATTTCATTTAATGTTTGTCCCCCCCCCCCCCCGACCTAGAATATAAGTATTTTTTTTCTCTTTAGTTCAATTGATTTGTTCATTGTGATAAGACTCCAATGTGCTCTCAAAGATTAAGACAGACTTACATATTCCATATGAATGTATGACTCACTTGCAATTTCTGGTAGCAGAAAAAACATCACACAACCTGTGGCCAAAATCAATGAACCTATTACAAAGAATGGGAGGCCAAAACCACCTGCCTGACAATGGGGGGAAATGGAGAGAAATTAATTACATGGCATACAGGCTAATAGTTTCTACAAAACAATGTCCATTAATTGAACATATCTCTGGGTTATGTCTTTCTGTGCCACCTGATGCGGCATTCACTAAGGCTGTACACTTAAATTGTAAATGAAGTAAATCTTTTACAGGGAAACAACTCAGATGAAGACAAACTATTTTTTGATACATCCCCCGATTATTTATAATGCCCATGATGATGAATATACCACATTGAAATTAAAAGAGAAGAAAAATATTGGTAATCTCTAAGCCTTTTCTATTGCCTGTAATGTTTATCTATTGAAATTCGGCAGACAATGTTAAGTCATCAATTCTGATGCATCATGAAATGATAAATATCATGTAATTATTACAATCATTTTAGGATACTCATAATTTGACAAAATAATTTATCTGCTATTGTTCAAACTTTCTAGATCATGAGAGGTTGATTCAAAATGCTCTTAAATAAAGTTTTGAAAAACGCAACACCCTGTTCAATGAAATGGAAGGGGGTGTGGGTTGTGTCAAAAGGAATCTTTTTGTGATCATTTGATGGAGACAAAACAAAACTAATTCAACCAATTCTAACATTATCAGCTCAATCCTAAAACAGATACCAAGCAAGTGTACCTCATACAGAACACCACCGAGCGCAGGTCCTGCCATCAGGCCAATCCCAGTGGCTGTCTCCAGGAAGCCCTGTGAGAAAAAAGATAGAAATTTCACTATCAATGCTGGCATGGAAGTATTCATGGCAACTGCTAAGTCAAGACATTTTCGGAAATGAACTTTGCAAAGTTTCCTCAGTGTACCCCTGCTGCCTGCCATCCTAACTTCCCCGTCCCATGCTGTCTGTCCTGATCTAACAGATAGCATCTAATGAGCAAAATTCACCAGCGTGGTACCGGCTGCCATTCAGTACCAACAGATAAAGTTAACTTCTTTTATTAATTTCCATAATATTTATTCACAGTGTTTTTTTAAAACACTTTGATTTTTTTATTTCATTTATTAGACTAGTGACATTAAATAAAATCACACTACAGCCATTTAACCAAAACGACTTGGAGAAGGGAACTGGAGGCAGACACCAAAAATAGTGGGCGCAACTGAGGACAGTTGGAGAGACTTGCCCAAGACCGGGATGCCTGGAGAGCCTTTGTTTGTGGCCTATGCCCAAAAAGGGATGACAGGCGATGATGATGATGACAGCCATTTACACAAAATAAATACAAATTGAATTTTTTTATTTTTAAACTATGATACAAGCCAGGCAGACAAACTCTGGAAGTGAACTGCTAAAATGTCTTTGTCTTTACTCACAAAAACTGTAGCAACATGTTTGGGAAACTCATTGGAGATAATCGCCAGCGCAGAAGTGAGGAAGGCAGACAATCCCAGTGCTTCGACACAGCGGCAGACAAAACAGATGACAATGAAAGGTGCACCAGATGGGCACATGTATAACGTGCTGGAAATATTATCAGTTTTAAAAGCCCATTACTAATAATAAGAAAAAAAAAGTTAATTAATTAATGCAGATTTACATTGTGAAGACTTTTTTTAAACTTAAAATAACATTTTGAATATTAAATATAAAAATTAGTGAACAAAACTCAATACCCACTTCACTAATTAAAAAAAATAATTTTCTTTTTTTATAGTCAGAATATTGAAAATAAACTATGAAAAATTCAATAATTTGAGTCTAAACTTATATCTGTTATGTCCATAAAAACAGAGTTGGCTAAGTCTGTAATCTTTTTGAAATAAAAAGATTTGTTTGTATATTTCTGTATGAAATATGTCATGTTTTAAATTACAATGTACAAGATGTTGTTTTTTTTTAAATTGTGAAAAAACTTAAATTATACCTGCTATATGGCCATCAACTTACCCAAATAAAATAGCACAGGTGCCACCAACAAATATCCCAGAGACAAAAAGAAACTTGGGACCAATTCTTGTGAGCTGAGGAGGGGTGTGGGGTAAGGGGTCACAACACATCACGGATGAGCTCACTGCATTGTAGATCACGTTTTCATAAATCAAAGATACAGGTAATTACCCCCCCCCCCCCAACAGCTACAGTTTTAGTTCACAACAACCCGTAGACATTAAGCACCAAGACAGTCTTACATAGTTTCCAAAGACAGGAGATGACAAGAAGATGACAAACTGGAAAACACTGAAGATGAGGCCCGTCACTGTCGTTGAAACACCTTTCTTCTCAGCCTGTTAATGAGGCAACAGAAGAATTAATAAAACCATATTTCAAGGTAATTATACTTTTTCAGCCCGGAGAACCCTTTTTCCATTTAAATAGAAATTGGATACCTAACATAATAAATATTTTCCTTATATCAAGGAAGGAATGTGATATTAAGTTCGTAGAGGATTAAGATTTTTTTTGCCATCATTTTTTAAAAGGTTAATAAATAGTACTTACATAAATATGTGCATAGTCGTCGACCCCCCCCCCCCACCCCTGAAGAAAAGGTTATATAATGGTGTGATAATAAAATGTTAATTGAGTCTAGAGATATGCTACACTGCATCCATTTTTTTTTCCATTATTTTTTAAAAGGTTAATAAATAGTACTTACATAAATATGGGCATAGTCGTCGGCCCCCCCCCCCCACCCCTGAAGAAAAGGTTATATAATGGTGTGATAATAAAATGTTAATTGAGTCTAGAGATATGCTACACTGCATCCATATTTATTACAAACTAAATTAAGATCACTTCCGTCAAAACCCATTCAGTGTACCTAACAAATCTGATCATTTTATTAATGTGATGCTAAAGGGGTATGAAAGCAATGCAATGCAGGACTACCACAAACTTCCGCCACCTCACTTTGCTATGCGGTTAACTCACCTCTTGAGGAAAAAAAGGGGCCAGTAAAGAAAATCCACAACCGGTGAAAAAGTTGGCCAGGCCCAGGAGACCTAGGACAAGTTTATTCTGTCTGGACAACTGACTGAACTTGAATTTTGTGGCTTCATCCTCCTCTCCTCCGGTCTTTTTGTCAACTATTCCAACATTTCCAAACCTACCGCTGAATGAAGTAATCCTGAAATCTACCTCTGTTTAAAATAGAACCACATTGATTAACTTAATATAATGGAAAAGAACATGGAGCAGTGTCTGCATGAACTTGTACACTGTACACATATCCAGACTTTCATTAATAAAACATACAATTATATGTTAATGTAACCTTAAGACTGAAAATTAGTAAAAGAAAAATTATGAAATTGGCTTTTTTTTAAAACAACATCCCCTACCAGCCCCAACACAAAAAATACAACAAAAAGCAGCCTACCATCCTTAGAGTGGACATCTGATTGATCTGGACCAGATAATAATGGTGATGTTTCATCCATAATCCTTCACTTCTAAATGTCAAATAAATACATTGAAATCTAAATTGCAACAATTAATCCTTACTATACTTCATGACACAAAAGAATGATTTTAAAAAAAAAATAAAACTTCATATAATATTGCAAAAACTGTGAAAATGTGCAGAGACATCAGAATAATTGATAGCAATAAATAACATAATTCATAAACATACCAAAGAAATTCACTTATTTTAACATTGCTACCACAAATAGCGAGACTTCTGTTAAGCAGATTTATTATCAAGCTGTGTTCTTTACCAAAGACATAGGTTTAATATTAACTGAGACTCTAAATAACTTTGAACCATACACACTATTGATTTATCAGTACTGCAGTGACCAATAGGTTACTAATCTTTCTATCATTATCTGAGTAAGATAACATTTAGTTGGTGCTTGCAGTGTGAAAAGTGACTTATATTTGGAGTGAAAATTTATAAATAAACTAGATAAATCATCCACAAATTATAAATACTTGTGATGGACATTGCACTTACACAAACAAATTTGCAAGAGACATATGTTTTAATAATGTTTAATTTCATTATTTTGTTTTACATTATTTTTTTTTTATTAAGCAAAGTAAAAAAAAATATTAAGTAAAATTCTAAGCATTTACTTGCTTCTATTGCAATCAATGATAACTATTCAATGTAGTTACAATGTTATCATTTTGATAATGCTTAGGTATGATGCTGAAAATGTGAATCCATTGACATCACTATCAAAAATAACTTACATGCTTGTGTAACAGATTAAAGGTCATGGCAGACCTACCATTATTCACAGCCGTTTGGTAGATAATGACTAATAACCCGTGGCTTATCACAAATAATAAAGACATACTTTGGGTAAAAATAAAAATATATATTTTTACTTTTTAAATCATGGACAATGCATTGAACTATACCCAATGACATCTTTGCTGTTAGCCAAACATTAACTATATGGCTCAGAAAGCTGGAGACCAACTAAGAAGGAAAAGACTGCAAACCTTCATGAAGAATTGCCTGAGGAAAACCCTCAACATCAAGTGGCTCCACAAAATCTGAAACCCAACAGTGAGGGATATGACAGCACAAATCCCAATGGAGCAAGAAATCCAGAAAAGAAGTTCGAGTTGGATAGGTCAAACAATGAGAAAACCAATGCCAAATATAACAACACAAGCACCGGTATGGAACCTCAACAATCAAGAGAAAGATGAAGGTCTTAAAACACCTGGTGAAGAGAATCTCACAAAGTCGTATTAAAGACTGGAAAGAGTTAGAGTAGATAACAAGAGTCCAGAGGGCTTTGATTGAAATAATTTTTTAATGGCCTATGGTCCACTGAGACTTGATAAGACAAAGAAGAAGACAATGGCTTGAGTTTTTTTCCCATTTAATTTATAATTTTACTTTATCTATATATAATGTAAGAAATGTGTACCATATAAATATATATATACCGGTATATATAAACGAGTAAATGTCTCATAAAACAGTTTATATATTAAAATAATATTTTTCCAAAATAGGCCTAGGCTAACTTTAAACCAACTGAATTAACTCATCAATGAATAGGCCTAACTTAATAGAAAAAACTCATTAATTCATGTATTGTGCCCAATGTTCCCTCTAAGTGCCTGTGATAAAGGTGTGCAGAAAAATATAGGAGTATGTTGCAAATTTAAGAAAGAACAGGGGATTTTTTTTTTACTCTAGTTTTTAATTTACTTTTATTTTACAAATAATTAATTTATTACACAAATGGTAATAGATGATGTCAGCCTAACATTGAGTCTGTCCCAATCATCAGTTGCCAACAGGCCAAAATTTCTTTTAATTGGCCAGATGTATCAAAAATGAACTTTTTTCTACATTCAATATCTGCCATATTTTGGTCTGATTTTTTAAAAATTAATTCAAATTAGTGATCTAAAATCTTAACTAAAGTAGAACATTTGTATAAACACAACTGTCCTGATCTGTGGGTGAATTGTTTTTTTCATCAAATTCTTTTACACATTCAAATGTTGTAATCACACTAAATTGAACACAAGTCCCTTTTCCAATAGCAATGTGACATCTAATCCAGAAAATATATATCAGGCTGTGCAATGAATCACTGAATTCAGATATGCCGACAGCATTTTGAATATAATTTAGCAAAATTAAATTCAGATATGCATCACGGCATTTTAAATTTAGCAAATATAAATTCAGATATCACTTTTTTTTATTTTTTCAAAATTGCATAGACAAAATATTCTCGGCACTCAGCTCCACCAAAATTTAAGGGAACATTGATTGTAACTTAAGATTTAAGTCATTATTCAGTCACTCATATCCTGATATCTCTACAAAGTTAGATTATAAGAACCACTGACCTAGGAGGGAGGTGTGGTGGGGAGGTCAGCCTACAACTGCACTTTTTTATATATTTATATATATATATCTATATAGTGAAGAGTTTTTTGTGAGGGGGTGGCAAAAATCTTGGCCCACCCTGCCCTGGCGGCACTAACCCTTGCTACGCCACTGATAAGAAATAGGCCTACTATGACTTTGTCTTTGATTACTACAAGTCATGATTTAAATTTAAAATACTTAAAACTTAATTTAAAATGCGTACCACTAAATTACCAATTTTTAATTTAATTAGACCATAAGTTATAAACCTAAGTTAAGTACATTAGTAAATGAAAATGCATTTAATTTTAAAATTGTCTAAATTTACTTAAAACAAAGTAGTTTTTTTTTTTCGAAGTGGTTATGCGCAGCCGACTGCGTATAACCCTGAGAGTTATACGCAGTCAGCAAGTCACGTGAGGTCTATATTCTTCCTGTGTTACAGTATCAATCAATAACGGTGCCTTGATATCGGGTGACTGTGTGGTCGAATGGTTTAAACTGACCTAACCTCAAGTTGGTGGTTTTGAGTTCAATTCCAGCCAACGGCAAGCCATGAATACACGTTAGTTGCTATGCTTTTTCTCGAGAATGAAGCAACAACTAGGCTTATTGTTTTACTTTTTTTTTGGCTAAAAAATGTTAAAACATGAGAAGAATTATTAACTTGACCAATGTAATGTTAATAATGTTATACTTATAATTATCAAATATATGTTTGTGTTGTTAACTAATTTTGTGGCAGATAAAATCATGTTTCACTGGTACAGTAATAAAAATAATCATGGGTTGAGAGTAGCAGGAAAAAAATCGCTGTAGGGGCAGGGGTTCTGTAGAGGGGTCAGTGTAAGTAATACTTTCACACAGTTATAGTTTTGCATGGAAGCTGAAAACTGTTACATTTAGGTCATCAAAAAAAAAAAAATCATAAATGATAAAATTTAAAAAAAGATAAATAGAATGTATTTCCTGAATTAGTCAGTAAAACTATAGTCATAGCAACATATAAAAACCTAATCAATCAAAATACATGACTAGACTTAGACCATGGAAATGCCTTTAAAAAAATCTAAGACTTAGGCTTAGACTCTAAGAAATGTAGACTTTGACTTATACTTATAATTATAATATATAAGATACAAGCAATAATACTAATAATAGCACTAATACTAATACTATTGCTATCATCAATTTCAATATTAATTAAAATTAATTCAATTAAAATTTTACGCTAAACACATTAAAAGTTCTAGTTCAAAACAATCCATCATGCAGCTAATTACGCAGAATACTTTTTTTTTAAATTGCCAAACAAGCGATAATAAACCTTATTTGGCTAAATTCCCAGCCGACTGCGTATAACCCTGAGAGTTATACGCAGTCGGCTGTGAATAACCCTCAGGGTTATGCGCAGTCGATTGCGTATAACTCTCAGGGTTATACGCAGCCGACTGCTTATACTTAGTATAACGCTTCCCTTTTTTTTTACTAATTACTAATTACATACTGTAACAATGTTTTACAAAGTACTAACTTACTAAGACAAGACGAAATTGGGTAACCCCGAGTTGAATATCAATAACTTTTTTTGTTTTTTAAAGTATAAATATAATGATTATAAAATTATAATTAATACGGTATGCCGTATACGTCAGCTCAAAACAAACGACAAAAGTTTACTCTAAATTTCTTACTCCTACCTTTTTAAATTTAAAAGAGCTGCATCAACTAACATAACTGCGTTCCATCACATGTAAAGAGTAAGGTACAAGAGTAAATATTGAATTATTGATAAAAACTAATAATGTTTTACTTCTATTTGGGTTAACTATGCTATGTCGTAAGTTAACGCAATCACTTCACGCTGTGATTAAAATGTTAGCAGTCTATGCAAAGATAACCGGTAACTGCTTCAGAGTTATAGTATCGATACCAAAATATTCCGTGATCCTGGCTTGGTGACTTTAACTCACTGTTTTCCGAAGGATGTTATGGAAGGGATATTACTAGTAAAGAAATGTTTACCAGTGCCAGTATTATGGCTTGGTGTCGCTTATTGTAAGTGTTACAACAACAAAATTTCCACACACAAATTGCGAGCCAGATACTCATAGAGAATAACCAATATTCAATATATTTAATGTTTTTGAACTTTTTAGCTAAAGAGCAAACCTCTCCTTATCAATCTTTCGCTGTCTTAAAATTGTAAACAAGAGACAAACAAAAAATAAAGATATAATTGATCATTATGTCAGGCGTCGGCAGAAATACATTGATGGATGAAGGGTCGTGCCTGGCATCAGAGTAAACCACTCTTGGCCCTGCCTTCTTGGGGACCCATATGGCGGAAATAGAAATTTCGTTATAATATGGCTATGGGAGGCCCAACATTTCTTATTCTATATCTTAAGACTTAATATTAAAGGCCCACGATCAATGTATGGATCATTCTGGCTCCATTTCGATTTCCACGTCCTCGGGACCCAAAAATAGGACACTTGATGAAAATAATGATGTCGTGCAATATATGCAAAACGATAAAGTTATTTATTCCAAGTTATTAGACCAATATAGCGAATATAAATAATAATATTTCTGATTTATGCTTTTTTCTTTTCAATTGGAATAACCATTTCTTTAGTCTATGATTGCAAGACTTCTTTTTTTTTTTTTATTTCGGACTTTTTCCTTCTCCACTTGGCTTTATATTTAATAAGTCAGAAAAAAAATGGGGGTGGGGTAATGTATCCTATAAACCTGCTGCTGCATACGCCTGAGCAGGGGTCCTCACAGATTTTAATCCCTACTTTTGAATATTAAAATGGGCAATATCTGTTCTATATTTGTCACTGGTATGGAGGGGTGGCATTTTTAGCTAACTGCAGAGGTGGAACAGAGGTGGCAAAATTCTTTTCCCGCCCTGTATGGCACTAACCCAAGCTATGCCACTGCACAGGTCCCCATACTTTTTGGTGCTGGGTGGCCGAGCGGTCTAATCTGAATCAATCCCAAGCTTGTGGACAGCTCAATCCCCAGCAAAAGCCTAGCACTAGCAAGCATCAACAAAAAATAACTCACACCAGCACAAACTATATAATAAACTCGGATTCTAGGGCCTAAAATATTCAAAGAAATCACCATTGATGTTGAGGTTTGCATTGCAGAGGGTGGTCACATAACCATCTGAAAACACAGGTTCTACAGCTATGAAGTAGCAACTAAAATAATTTTGTGGCTTGGGGTCGCCACAACATGAGGAACTGTATTAAAGGGTCGCAGCATTAGGAAAGTTGAGAACCACTGGTTTACTAGTTCTATGCACTGTACCAGTACTTCAGGCAGACTTTTTTTTCATGGTGGTGATCTTCACGGCAAGCAGTCCTATTGGGGTACGAAAAATTACTTGAAGACACTCCAAAGCCTCACTCATATTGTTCAACATCGACCCTAAGACATGGTTACAAAGAGCCTCTTGGTACGGTACTCAAAGACTCCTTGGTGTTAAGGTCCTATAGATCAGCTGCTACAGAGCCGAGAACACAGCCAGACCCCATTACTCCAGGATATCACGCATCCTTCCCTTTCTCCTGCCATGCAAGAACTGCCCCTCTGAGTAATCTATACACTCAGCCCCTGGAACCCTCTGATGACTAGAGGTACCTTATCGACCCAATGGTCGTGACCCACAGACAATTTTACTCTGTCAATAAAACTAATATTTTAAATTATTTCATCTGGACAGTTAAAGTTAAAGTTTTAAAATAAAAGTCATTATCACATCATGATTTTAACAAGAAGTTTTTAATTTTTACATTAATGAACTTTATAAAACAAAATTCAAAATTTTCAAAAAGAAGGTTCAATTGCAGTCAACATGGATTTTGCTACTTTCAATTCTCATGAAAATTATGTATAAATATAAAATATATCTCAAATATGTGTACAAATGTCTCCACAAAGCTCAGGTTAGAGCAATGAGACCAATTTATTTATTTACAGCAATGTGATCACATTTTAATACTTATATATGCATTATATTTATAACAAATGTTACATTAAAAAGTTTTTATCTACAGCTTATTATAACAAACATAAAATGACCCTTAACGTTGTAATTTTTAATTTGATTTCAACATGCATTTCTGATTGCACGCAAATGGGGTGTCGTTGAGGACAGGAAAATTTCTTGGAGCTAAGAGAAAATATCTAAAGGGGAAAAGCCTAAAAAATGTTAAGATCCAATGGCCAATTTTAAGTTAAATGGAAATGAAGATGAAAAAAAAAATATGAATAAGCAATAAGAAACAAAACATAATAATGGATATTGAAGTTCAATAAATTAAAAAAATCATATTCTAATAATTCTTTTACAATTTCGGACTGAGGGCCATTGAGGAATTAAATAAAATAAATTATGATCCCTTGAACCTTAAATAAAATGGCGTGTATTTCATGGGAAGGACACAAAGATGTACAAGAAATTTAAATAATTTATAGCCTCCTTTAGACATCCAGCAACAACTCAGAGCTGGAATTTTCTAGGGATGAATTACTCCTGTCATCGTCATCATCCATGGCAACTCCATCTCCAAGGGAGATCATCGGTAATGGAGAAGCCAATGTGATATCATTCTCAAAATTTACCTCCTCAAGATCATCATCCTCATCATCATCGTCATCATCCCCGCTAGCATGATGGTAAATATCTTCAGTGTTTTGCTGCGCAGACAGGAGGGTAGAATCCTTACTGCGCGATATTGAAATTTTTTCAGTTACGTCCATAGTGGTTTCCCCTGTTGTCTCTGGGAGATCCTTATTCCTGCTTGAAGTGTTGTCCGCATTGATGCCACCAAACTGCATGATCATCATGTCTGAATCTGACTCAAGCGATGACGATTGTCCTTTGTCAGCTAGCCCCAAATGCATTTCGAGATTTTCAGAATAAGTTTCAGGGTTCATTTCTGAGTCAGAATTATCTGCATTGCTGATCATGTCAAGGCTAATATCTTCTGTTTCTCCACACAAGTTACTTCCATCAGAACTCCTGAGGTCACTCTCGACCATATCCTCTGATATCCCTTCAACAACCATCAATCTTTCTTCATCCTCCTCTTCAACATCCTCACCATGTGTGCCTTCTTGAAATAACTCATCCTCTGCTTCTAGCTCAGCCACCAGCGCAAAATCATCTTCCGCTTCATCCTCGGAAGTTTGCCTTGCACCCAGGCATCCATACTGACTCAAGACCGCTTCTGGAACTTTATACAATAGAACCTGAGGAGATAAATTCACCAAGAGTGGTAGGGCTCTTTTCTCATTTCCTTTAAAGTTTTGTCTCATACTTTGGGGTTCTGTCCCTAGTTCTATAATCTTAGCTTCTAGGCTGCCATGTTTTGATGAAAGATGCTGGTGAATAGTTTTGTCATCATCGGCACAAAACTCACAATAGCCACACTGCAGGTATTTGGTGTGGGAGTGTCCTTCCATGTGAGAATGGTGTTCCGCTTCAGTCTCAGCAAGGAAAGAGCAGAGCTCACATTTCAAGGGTGAATTGGCAGAGGTGTCGCGCATCTTGTACTGGAACTGTTCGTGTTGCTGGGCTATGTGAAGTCGGAAATGGTACAGGCTTTCCGAGGCATAAGTGCATTCACTGCACAAGTACGTGATGACTTGGCTGTTATTTCCCACAGCTACTGGAACAAAAATGAAAGGCAAAAAAAATATAAGGTTAGAGATATCCTACAACTACAACCATTTCATTATTATAATTTTTTTTTATTAAATGAAGAAATTTTATTTAATTTTTTTTACAATTAATTACATTCCACAAATTACTTAGATCAAGAATTAAAAAAAGGATTTTAAAAAACTGTTTACCAATGTAAACTATATTTTCCCTCTTAATTCAGACTGGTGAATGAAAATTCCTATTACCTCCGTCCGAACAAACACGTATGATATATGGTATAAACACTCTTTTTATTGTTTTACACTGGGCCAAGATGACTCTTATTTCCCAGTTCTTCCTAATACACTGCCTTACTTTAATCATTTATTTTTTTCCTAATGTTGAGTGCAGAGATAAATTCTACCATGACTTACAGTTTTCTTGGCTTGCAAGATGAGTATCTAATAGAAGGGCATCTAGGCCAAATGGCTTTATGTCTTCCTCAATTTTCACTATCTTGTTGGCCTTTCCCTTTGTGGTGTTGGTGGAACCAACAACTCCTGACCTCCTGAGGTGAATCACCCAGAGTGGCTGCCCTTTGTGTAAACAGTACTGATGGCGCATAAGTTTTTCCCTGAGGAATGTAAGAACATACAGTCAGATATAACTGATATAAACAAGATGTTTAGATCACCAGTATTAAATAAATCATTTTTAAATAACATACAAATTTGGCAATTAAATTTGTTCGATTTCCAATTTAAAATGTCACAATTAAGATAACCTATGGGAATGACTTTCTTTAAAGTCTTAATGATCTTTTCCATTCTAAAGTTGAAACAAAAAAAAAAATTTTTTTTAAATTTTACATCATGAAAAAAATATAATTGAAAGAGTACGGATAACTGTTGGGTACATACTGGGGGGGGGGTGTGGGTGTGTGGTGTGGTGTCAATATTTGTCAACAATTGAGAACTTTATTTATATAAATTGTGTTAAAAATGTTACAGGGACATTATTATGTTCTTAATTTTCTGGAAGGATATCTATAAAGCAAAAGGCAACAAAAACAAAAAAAAACTTACTTTCCTGAGAATGAACGACTACAATAAGGGCAGATAAATCCTTTGGGTTGATGAGATTTCAGGTGAGACTTCATGGCTTGAATGACACAAGAGGAAAAGTCGCAGGTCTTACATTTGAACCTGTTAAAGATAAAGTTGAAGTTGTAATGCCTGCAATCAGCTGGCAGGTAGCTACCGAAACAAGCATCTATCATCTGTTAGTAATTACGAGTTCTTTATCAAAATGGATCAGTAATTTTAACAGTGTTTGAACTATTTTTATCCATGAGAGTAAAATTAAAATTGACAATGTCAAGCAGAAGCCCATGATGAGAGTTATACACTTAATTTAAACAGACCCACTGCAATATGATGAGCATGTGTAGAATTTTTAAAACAAGCCCACAAATAAATGTGTGTAGTTTCCTAGTAGCAATGTCAAGTACATCACACAAATTTCGGGTCATCCCCAATTCATTTACGTATTATAGGGAGTTCATGTATTTTATGTCCAAGCTAGAGAATATCTGTTGAGAATGCCAGTTCCTCAATGTGTCTAAGGATTTTAACAGTGGGAGAAATGAAATGAAGACAGTACATTGATGACGTACCTCATAGGACTGTTTCCTGATCCCAAGGTCATCCTTGTTGTGTATCCAACATCCAGAGAAGAGCTAGGAACAGAGTCACAATCTGGAAGAGCCTCCCCTGAGCCATCGCATGTGAAGCCTCGATCGAGCTCGGTCCAGAGAAATCTCTCCCCGTCGTGAGCCTCGTTATGATGGGTTTTCACATCATTCACATTGCTCGCAGTGAAGTCACATCTGTAACACTTGACAGTGACATCCATTTCTATGCCAACAGTCTGAGGGGATTTGCCATGCTGTAATATAAACACTTCATTTTGATATGCTTTACTAAAAATTTAAAATTAACTATAAGATACATAAACTTAATTTGAGGGAGCAGATACGCCATCAAAACAGAGACCGCTCAACAAACCGCCAATAATATCCATGTTACTAAACTTAGTGAAAACGTAAGTCAACAAACAGAAAAGAAGCATGGTTAAACAGATGGCCTGAACAGGATAATTTTATTTTCATTATAGCCCGAATCCCAACGATCCCAAAAAATTGCTTTAGATTCTCAGCGATTCTTATATACAAATAAATACAGAAGAAATGTTTTTCTCACTTGTTTCTTCACAGGACTTCCTTCCACTCCAGTTCCTCCATCCTCAGCAAAACTGTGGCTCCTGGACTTCTTGGCATTCTTGCTTCCCGTTGGAGCACTCCTCTTCAAGTTGATGCTGGTGTCCTGAAACTTGGCAATAAACGAGTCTGTTTGGCCGATATTGAAGTCAGCATCCTTGGCAGCCTCTTCCTGGATTTTCAGAGCCAGCTGTCGGGTCCCCTCCAACAACTCCTCCACTTTATTTTCTTTCTTCACATTTCGAACGTACATGTACTGTTCCTCATGACCTTTGGAGAACACAAGATCGTCTTACATGGGATGAACTGAACAGCTCAACTACACTACAAAGTATCACAAATAAGTTATGATACTATGCTTATTTAAATTTGATCATGTTTTAAGCTTACCTTGTGATCTTGAGTGTCTCCGACATTGATCAGGGGAAGGGAAAAATGCACCACAGTTGGTGCAAGTGAATGGCCTGTAATTAACATGACGGTTAAGGTGATATTTCATCTTTGACGTGGCCATCGTCTTCACAGAACAGGACTTGCAGATGAAGCGCCAAGCTGGTATCCGCTTGGCCTCAAATGGTAATCCAGGGTGGTCCCAGGTCATGTGATCTTGTATTCGACTCATCGATGTCTCACGGGAGTCACAGTATCCGCACTGGATGAGCTCATCCCCTTTTTCAAACACGAACCGCTTTCTCCGTTTCACAACCCCTCCATTGTCATCAACATCCCCCTTTATTTTTCTTTTCACTGCTTTTTTACTGCCGTCCCAGCATGCCGAGGAGTGATCATCAGGTTTGGTACCAGCCTGCTGTGTGTTTTTTGCAGGGGAGCTGCTTTCATCCCTTTGTGAGTGGTTCTCTCTGGTGTGCTGGAGAATGTCTTCCTGTGTGTTTGTCTCATAATGACAGTAAGCACATGCATACTGCTTGGGCCCTTGACTAGAAGTGCTGACATTCATGGGTTTCGCAGATGCCAATTTTTTACTGATAAGTTTCTGCCGATTTCGCTGGAAGCTCAGTGGCCCCATGAGCGGTTTGATTTTCCTGGGTTTCGAGCGTGGTGGATTTAAAGTGAAGGCGTCTTCCTTGTAAGCCACACCTGGGTGTTCTTTGTCAACGTGTTTCTGCATCAGCATGAGACTCAGTGTTTGATAATTGCACACAGGGCAAGTGTGCGTCTGGTATTTCTCATGAATTTTGTAAATGTGTCTCACAATATTGGAGCGATGTAGAGATGTGAACTTGCACTGTTCGCAATAGAATTTTGTAATGGGCCCTTCTCTGGCTTTGAGAACCTTTATTTTTGTGATAACATCCAAGGCTTTTGGCTTGCCCCCCGCTGGAGAACGATAGGCTCCAGGCGCATAAGATTCTTTAAGAGGCCGCCTCAATGTTGAAAATGACTGCGCAGATTCATCAGAAGGATCGTAATTGCTTTTATCTGCGCCGGGATCATCATCCTCATTGTAATCATCTTCATTGTAATCATCTTCATGATTTCCAATGAAATCATCAAATTCCTCAATTTTGCCCTCTTCACACTGCTCCTCATCTATTTCAGTCTTGACAACAAACTCTTCATCGGCTGCTGGTTTCTTCTTCTTGCCAAACATGGCAACGACCAGTCCTTTTTGTGAGCTGCCAGCTGTTCCTTTCATCTCATCACGGTCGTCGTCATCTTCCTCATCATCTTGCCTCTCGGTCTTGGGAATAACAAGTGGGGAACCGTCCCTTGAATTCGGCTTTCTGATCAGATCATTGACATTTCCCCCCAGGTTCGCCAAGTCGTTTACAAACTTCCGCACCCTTCCCCCGACATCTGGCTGGGAATACTTGATGTTGATTGGCTGGCCGCCGTGCTCCTCCTTGATGTGGGCGGAGACATTGTATTTCTCAACACCTTCAAAGGGGCAGTAGGGGCAACCAACAAGGTTCATCTTAAGATGCTTGAGCATGATGTGACGGTGGAGGGGGTACTTCCTAGGAAACTCCCACCGACATATCAGACACCTGAACTGACCGGTTGGCTTGAGCTGATACAGCGACCCGAGTTCTCTGTCAAGAGCATCGCGACCTAGCATCAAAACATCTGGGTCAACTGAATTATGTTTTTTAACAGTGACCCCCGGTGGTAGTTTATTTCCTAATTTGAAGGAGGGTCCTTTGTATTTTGCCAGCTTGTTAGCAAGAAGTTTCTTTTTTTTACTCCCTGCCTGAGTTTTGAAGACATGCTTGAAGCTGTTACCCACATAGCTGGTGATGCTGTCAGTGGAGGACAAGCCTCGCATGATTGCGTTGATCTCCGATTGGTCGGCATCCCCTGAGGCGCCTGGAAACAAGAGAAGACAATCTTAAATTCAATTCACTATATTTTAATTTATTTTGTCAACCAGATCAAATTTTTAACATGTGTATAGTCAGGTTTGACTAATTTTTAGAAACATAAAAAATTGTTGTTGATCAAAATAACAAACTATGCCTCAACAACATTTTATTTTAGTCTATAAAACATTTGGTTATTTAATTTTATTACAATCAATTTAGTACCAGAATCTGTAGTAAAATATTCTATCCCCATCATCTGTAGGTTCCTGAACTATGTATGGAAGTTTTTCAAGCAATGTCTTTGGCTGGATCAAGGTGTTCACTTTAAGGCTGATATTTTAATATACAACACCGTGCTGGAAACCGAATGGTAACTTTTGTTTTGTATTGTGTACATAATGTCCTTTTCTTGAGTTTAGTACAAGACACACACTTACTGTGTAGTTCACCAGCTGCTACTTTGGCCAGGAAATCTGACACCTTCTGACTGAGGTCCACAGCCAGTGTTTGTATGTTTACAGGTGAAGATTTGTGGCAAGCCAGGATGTGGTCAACAAGCTGATGTTTCTCCACACCTTCCAGTCCACAATAGCCACATGCCAGGAGGGCCACCTTTAATAAAAGTCAAGTTAGGGTATTGGATGTATGTCACTGTATAACTAGAGATATATGACTTCTTGCATTTTGGTAAATTAACTTACATTATAGTATTTATAAACTGACAGGTAATGTTTTAAAGACAAATTTTTTTTACAGTATCCCAAATTTTTTTACTTGTACTATATCTAATATATTTAATGGTGAGTACCCATATAGTTTTTATATGTTGTTAAAATTATGTAGGTTTTAGAAATAAAGAGCAAAGTTAGTGTTTTTAACAGTGTGGGGTGGTTCATAATAGTGTGGGGAGAATTTATAAGAGTGTATAGAGGGTTTATAAAGCCTTAAAATATATATAAATAATTAATTAAAATATAAGGTCGCTACTTTGTGGATTTTCACCTATAGCAGGGGGTTCTAGAACCTTGTTCAGACAAGGGACCACTGTATTTCATAAAATTTATTGAAAAATTAATATAACTAAATTTAGTTTGTGTATCCTATCACAAACCCATTGAACTTCATTCACTATATGGAATAGCAGCAATAGCTTTTCAACTACCGTATATATATTTTTACATTTTGGCATCCAAGTCTCATAATCTTTCAAAATGTTATTGACACGGCCACTGGAAGAGAACAAATTAAACTGCATTCACATTCAGTGATTACAGACACACAAAAATACTGAGCGACCCACCCATCTTCCCACCCAACTTCCCACCAACTGACCCACCTTCAGATGAGAAATTATGATGTGGCGATGCACTGCAAACTTGCGCTGGAACTGATTGGAGCAGGCGATGCACTTGTAGAACACTCCATCACTGTAGTCATACAGGAATCTGATCTTATCATCCAGTTCCTCACTGCCAAGTGAATTAGTGGAAGATCCACTCGTTCCTCCAGGCCCGGGAGATTTTTGACGTGACCTTACACTGTCGTTGCTGGTCTGGTCCATGGAATCTTCATACGACGGGGACGCATAGGGCACATCCCTGCCTTCGTCCAAATTTGCCTTACGATTTTTTATCACATTGAACTGCTGCAGGAACTGAGCCACTTTGGTTTCAACATTAACCCTAATGTACCTAACACTCATGGCTTTGCCAGGATGGATCTTTTTAATGTGGTCCACCATCTTGTATTTCTGAAGACCCCTGTGGGCACAAAATGCACATTTCCACAGATAAATGTTTAGATGACGCAAAATATGAACATGTATAAAAAACTTTTTTGGCCGCTCCGTGCCACAGATCAAACACTTCATCTGGGTGCCATAGTTTTCATACAAACATCGAATTTTCGCATCAAGGCTACCACTGCCTACAACACAACTTTCTTCCATTAATCCAATTTTGCGGCCCATAGTCGACACCTGAACAGGATAGGAGTTGCGTCCCATGACAGATATGTCAGGATGGCACTGCTGTAAGTGGATTACCATGTCACGCCTCAACATTGTGGAAAAGTCACACCTTGAGCACAGCGATGCTTCTTTGAAAACCTGTTCATCTGGGACGATCAAAACTTCCTCTTGGCTTGTGAGTGAATGTTTTGTTGGGCTTTGTGAACTGGTGACAACCTTGGCATGCCTGAGGTCCTCTGAGGTGGCCCTGGCCAACTTGTCAACATCCTCATCACTGCTAATGACCTTGACCTCAGAATGGAAGGAGTTCACGTGCTGAACTATTTCAGTTTTGTTGTGGGAGCTGTAAGAACATTTCGGGCACTGGAGGGCAGCACTGAAGGTCTCTCCACCTTCTGGTATCACAAAAAGCTGCTCAAACACGGCTGAAGATTTCTGAGGTTTAGAGGGAGAGGAGCCAGGCTTCTTCAAACAGGTCATGATCTCCTTGTGGAGGGATTCCTCCAACAGGTCCAAAGACTCCTCCATGGAGGTCTCGGCAAATGACCTATCCACTTCAGTTGTGTCGATGGCAACAATTTTCTTGACTAGGGCAATTGGCTTGCCTGGGTGTTTTTCACTGAGATGATCATAGAGCAGCTCCCGTGCAGTGGACATACAGCTGCAGTACTTGCACCTGAACATGGTCAGAGTAATTTGACCTATTTCAGAATGTCTTTTCACATGATTCTTCAGATCAGCTGCCTTCGGAAGGAGATATTTACAAATAGGACATTTGAATTTTCTCATCTGATTTTCAAGAACCTGACCTGGTTGGAGGGCCGCCTGCTGGGACACCATTTTATTGAACAGTTCATTCCTTTCATTTATTTGTGTAGGGGTCAAGTGGGGCATGTCCACAGTGGCCTTTTCTTTAGCTTTTTTGGCACTGCCTGACGGCTTTGTAAAGTCAAACATGCCATCACAAGAACTGTTGTCTGGAGACTGGAGGCTGGGATGAAATGAAGGGGAAGAGCCGGAGTCTCGAGGTGAAAGGTCATAGGAGGACAAGGGCGTATCTGTGGGTGTGAGGCTTTCTATTGTGAATTCTCCTTTATCCCTGAGAATGTTGTGCTTTCGCTGGTAGTGTATGGCCATGTGGATTTTATGCCTGGTCATGTAGTCACATCTTTCACACTCCAGTACTCTGGACTCTAATGACCTGGACACAACAGAGTACTGATCCTCCACTGGCCCAAAGCCCCTATGTTTACGATCTCTATTACAGGTTATGTGCTTGACGATTGTGTGTTTCTGGTTGGTGTCGAACTCACATTTCTTGCACCTGTATAGCAGAAATTTGATGAGCCCAGGATGGCAAGTGATGTGCAGCCTGAACTTCATTTCACTGTCAAACCCTTGAGGGCAGAACATGCACTTAAATCGTTCCTTTCTTGTTGGAGGCATTCCATGTGACCTCTCATGACAATTAAGGCGTTTGAGATCCCTTGCAATGAAAGTACAATATCGACACTTGTAATTTTCAGCCTGGCGCTCACTCATGGGGACATAAATCCTCCTCCGAATCCCGTTCTCGTCAATGGAATAAACAGTCGTGGCTTCATCTGTAGCTCCCGAGCCTTCAAGCTCATCCTCCACATCATCATCAATCTCATCTTTGACCCTTAATGAACACAAATCGGACCCATCGGAATTTGGACTCTTCCCACTCTCAGGAGTTCCAGATTTCTTTCTGGTAGAGGGCGGAGTTGCCATCCTTGAAGAAGGTGATGGCGTATCACGTGAGCTCGGCCCAGCACTTAGAATCTCAGACAAACAAGTTCCACTTGCGGTTTTTGTTGTCTCGTGTCGACTGAGAATCTGATCAACAACAGAGGAGCATCCATCCCCGGCAAAACCTGGTGCTGGGGTCAAGGTCGGAGGCTGCATTTCTTGTAGGTGTTTCATCTGCTCATACCCATTTACCTTTCGGTCATTGCAAATGAGCTGCTTGGCAACTGACACCATTTTGGGCTTTCCAGGATGAGCCGACGTGATGTGATTTAAAATAACCCTTCGGTCTGTGGCCTTTGATGGACAGTGTGGGCAGTTTATGCTGTGGATGACGTTGTCTTCAACGTGGTTCTGAAGCATGAGTAAGTCTGTAAAGACAACACCACACGCATAGCACAGTGGCTCCAAGATCTCCGGGTGGGTCAGCTTTATATGGTTGATGTAATCGGTGAGCATATTGGTGCCGAATCTGCATCCGTCATTGCCACAGACGTACAACGGGGAGGACTTGTTGTGCGTATGCGTGTGGTTGGATATGTGTCTGACGAGGTCGTTTTCATTAGGGCTCCGGTGGCCACAGTAGTAGCAAGGGAAGTAGGTCTCTGATGAGTGGAAGTTCATGGTATGCTCCTTGAACTCTGCAGTGCTCAGGCAGCTGAACAAGCAGTTCAGGCCACAAATAAAGAAGTTTGAGTCTTTCACCTGCTGTTTTGCCACCTGACTGGTGGGCGATGACGAATTTGAATTGTTGAGATGGGACGGCGCTGGGTGTAATGGAGGGGGTGGCAGCATGAGACCAGGGCAGGTTGGTTCAGCTTTGTACATTGGCTGCTCTGGTCCGAGAAATGACAGCAGCTCTGGCTCTTTCTCCTCATTGGAGGATTCTATAATAAAATTAGGCTCCATGTCAACTCTAGGTGAGCTGCAGTGCACCTTGTCAGTGTCCATGCCGTCGGAATCCTGAAGGGAGTAGGAGGCAACAATCTTTAAACCAGAGTCATCCACAGAGTCTAATTTATTTGAACCATCCTTCCCTTTAGGGCTGGACTGGATGGCGAGTTCAGAGACCCCAGAGGTAAGAACCTGCCTGAGTTTTGAGAATCCTTGGGATTGTTGTTTCTGTACTGTTTCAGCTCTGGCTGAGTTCATAGGACTGCCCACAACACTATCTGACACATCATCTGCCAAGCCATCTCCCACACTAGCACTGGGCACAGTTTTATCCCCTGAACCATCCACGGATACATTCCCATCATTATACAAGGATGACTTATCAGGAATGTTACTTCCATTTATATCCACAGCTGGGTCACTGGCACTATCCACTGCTCTATCTTTAGAGTCAGCATTGGGAACATTGTCTATCTTTTTCTTCCTCTCTGGATCTTTTTCTAGAGGCACCTTCCCTGCAACCTTGGCCATGAAGCTAAGGACCCCTGCCAAGGTCACTTCTTTGATTAAAGCTTTGGCTTTCCTAAGAGCCCGCAGGGCACAGCTCATTTTGGCACCATTGTGCGACTTGTGAACGTGTCGGCTGATCTCCTTGCGGTTAATGAAGCACTCCTTGCAGTAGAGGCACTGGTAGGGGCGTACCATGAGGTGGCACATAAGGTGCTCCTCGAAGCCGTGCCCAGCGCTGGAGAAGTCGCATTCTTGACACAGGAACGACTTTGTGTCCTTGTCTAGCATTATCGTGATTTTTACTTTCTCCTCATCTGTTTCACTGTCACAGGAATGGTTGTCTATAAGCCGCCTGTCCTTCATCACACACAAACACTTGGGACATTTGAATTTTGCAGGTTTCTCAGTGTTTTTATTTGGCGTATCCCGACTGTGGCTCGTTGATGGCTGGTTCTGGCTCACTGAGGTTTCCGGCTGACCCCTGTCCACCGATTCATTACCGGTATCTTGTTCACCACAAATTTGAGATTTATGTTCATCGGAACCTGAACATATTTTCTCCCTTGGAGAAGTGGGATTCGCAACTAACTTTGCCGCACTTTCATCTCCTTTATCAAGCTCATCTTGGGTGACTGTGTCCTTTTGGGGTTCACCTAGATCTTTATTTATAGCTCTGAGTGGTTCTTGCACTGAGTCTGTACTGCTATAGCAATCCATAATTTTATCTCCAGATTTCAAACTTGATAAATCCCCAACGTGAGGTTCTGTTATCTCTTTGCTGTCGCTCGCATTAGTTTCAGACAGAAATTCTGGATATGAACCCCCTGTTTCATCAGGACAGTTTAAGATTGGAAGGGGTGACTCATCTGTTGGCTGTGTTGTCTCACCATCAACTGGTGTCACTGCATCGCCTCCATTAGAATGCACCTCAGAACACACGGGAATATCTTTGCTGTTCCCTGGCCTGGGGCATGTATGTGATGGCTGGAGACCTGGCTTGGGTGTGTGATCCGTTGCTGCCGTTGTTAATTCTGTTACTGGCGAGTCTTGTATTGGATCCATTTTTTTTTTTTTTACTGATTTCCAGAACTGGAGAAGAAAATTTTTTTTATTGTTTGGCCATGTGTTACAATAATTACAACTGTTAACAAATGTGTGTATTTAACTCTCTTCAACTGTATATAGAGCCAACAAATGTTATCAATTGAACTGCTGGTGAAGTTTAATTTTTTTTTTTACCAATAAACTATACTATTTGTAGTTTTAAAAATATATGTATAATTATATATATATAAAAGTGAGTTCATATAATTTTATGTGATTATTGACTGTGAGATTTGTGAGTCCAAACTTGGTTAGATCCATTTAGATCCATTAGAAACCCCCCCTGAAATATCTCGTATATATATTTTGCTTCTGGTGTGTCCTGCTATAGAGGGCTAGGGAGAAATGTTTTACATCTTGTTAACCCAGAGGTGGCTTTTTTGTTTTCATTTACGTGACTGATATTTGATGAAGACAAAGCGAGTAAACTCATTTTAAACCGTCTTCTTTGGACACCCAGATTTATTTATGCATTATGTTAAAATTTTGCCAGCTGGCTCTTTTATATATATATATATATATATATAATATATATATATATATATATATATATTAAAATTTATCAGAAAATACGATGAATTTCGAGGTGAGCCGAAACTACAAATTTCTCTGCCACTTGAGGGTCAGGAACTCAACAATGAGTGTACTGTACTTCAAAAGACTTCAAGTAACAAAGAAGAGAGTTTCATTGGTTGAACACATTCAAATGTGTACCGAAGAATGGGGCTAAAACACAACGGATCTGATCTTTAGGTTCAATATGCTACTTAAACGGCATCCTTTCAAAATAACGATTAAAGTAGGGGAGGGGGGGGAAGAGAGGAGGGGGAGTGACTCATATTGATTAGGCGTGTCAACCAATTTTTTTTTTGTGAGACAGTGTATGTTTGGTCGTAGGTCAACCGAGGTTGGTCATGTCAGGTGACAGTTGATGGTAGGTCATCTTCAAAAGCTGATATTGGTAGGTCATCTTCAAAAGCTGATATGGTAGGTCATTGCCAACGGGCAGTTGATGGTAGGTAGGTAATTTCCAACGGAGAGTTGCGTTGTTAGGTCAGGCTCCCCTGAAGATAATAGTATTGGTCATGTGTGCAGGTGTAAAAGTCAAAGAATGCTAAATGCCATATCAGAAGACCGGAAGTGCATGATAAGTCGTGTCAACCAACAGCTGATGGAAGGTCATGTCAACCAACAGCTGATTGGGAAGTCATGTCAACCAACAGCTGATGGGAGGTCATGTCAATCAACAGCTGATGGGAGGTCATGTCAACCAACAACTGATGGGAGGTCATGTCAACCAACAACTGATGGGAGGTCATGTCAATCAACAGCTGATAGGAGGTCATGGCAGTCAACAGCTGATAGGAGGTCATGGCAGTCAACAGCTGATGGGAGGTCATGTCAACCAACAACTGATGGGAGGTCATGTCAACCAACAGCTGATGGGAGGTCATGTCAACCAACAGCTGATGGGAGGTCCTGACAACCAATAGCTGATGGGAGGTCATGTCAATCAACAGCTGATAGGAGGTCATGTCAGTCAACAGCTGATAGGAGGTCATGTCAGTCAACAGCTGATGGGAGGTCATGTCAATCAACAGCTAGGGAGAGGCCTTGTCAACCATGGGAAGTCATATAAAGTCCATGCCTGATGGACTGGTATATGTCAAGGGTGAGACTTGGTCATTTTAATCTGATTCCAATCTTATATAATGTTTGCCCATGCCAAACTGGGTCTCTCTCAATTTTTGATAAACTAAAGACATTCTAGTTCTGTATGTTTACATGCCTGTGCTTCCAGTCTTTTCAGGTTCAAGCTACACTTTAACACACTCAAGATAAACACACACACGGACGCGCTTGACACACACACACATTGCAAATTTGCAAGTCCAGCCAATCTCTCGTCTTAAATTAGTTTCTGTAATGTTTGTCAATCCAAAAACTACCGTTTGACAAAGAAGATCACCAACAAGCAATGGCAAAGCAAATTCCTTATCAAGCATATCATTGTACTGGAAGACTCCTCCCTCACTTCCCACCCCCACCCCCTTTATTTTTAAACCTCTTTTATGATATTTTTTTTAAAAATGTACAACTCTACTGCTGAGAAGAAGCAAGGACTCAAGAAGTTCTGGTCGCCATGTTTGACTCAAGAAGTTCTGGTCGCCATGTTTCTCCCGCATGGCACGCCTCGCTCCGCATTGACTGCTTTCTCCAACTCTAGTGTTCTGGTCGGTCCTGGCCTGGCCTGATCTAGTAAGCTGTGCGCCCGGCCTGGTTAGCACATTGAAAGAAAGCCCAGCCAGCACATTGAAGCCCGGCCCCGTCTAGAGCAGTGGGTGGCGGAGGGGGGGGGGCTTATATAGTAGATGCTGTGGACCAGGCTAGAGCACTGGGTTGGGGGGGCCTTATATAGTAGATGCTGTGGACCAGGCTAGAGCACTGGGTTGGGGGCCCTTATATAGTAGATGCTGTGGATCAGGCTAGAGCACTGGGTTGGGGGCCCTTATATAGTAGATGCTGTGGACCAGGCTAGAGCACTGGGTGGGGGGGCCCTTATATAGTAGATGCTGTGGATCAGGCTAGAGTAAGAGGCTTTTGTTTTTGTGTACCCGGTAGCCACTGAGGGGATCTACAACAAGCTGAAACATAATGGACTTGGTCCGGCATTTTATTGAGCGTCGCTAGTGTATGGGGGGGGGGAAGAGAGAATGTAACCGGTGAAATGTGTCCAGGAATGATGTTAGTCGTGGTGGACAGCTTACTGCATCCCATTAGTACGACAGTCGTGATTTGATCAAAAAACTAATATGTAACCGACAGCCTACTTCTTTCCTATAAGTTTTTAGCGCACTGACCAACACAGCATTTCTTGTAGGTTGCAGGCGTAAAAAATTAATTCAAAGGTGTGTGTGGGGAAAAGTGGGGGGGGTCGAGTACATTCTATGCTAGATTCTATATTTCTAAAGATGAAATTCAGGAAAATGCTCTCCTTTCATGGCCAACGCCAATAGTAATCTTTATAAGAAAAGCCCAGGCATGTCTTTGTGTAAATTGGGAAATTCCCCAAGTTGTGGCAGCCCTGTACGGAACGCTATCGAGGAAACCATTTTGTTTGCGTCGCAAGTGAGGAAATTTGGAGAACGACGCGTTTCTCTGACACTAAACAACGCCAGCGTGGGAGCCATCTTGGTTGGTTGGGTCACTGGAACACGTGGAAAGATTAAGAAAGCGAAAGTTGATGCAAATTTTTTTATGAAACTGGTAATAAACACAAGTGTTAGTGTGGGTAAGATCAACAATCCTTTCAAAGGATTTTCGAATAAAAAATGGAAATGCCAGAGCGTCACCAAAGATCCGGTGAAGAAATAAGTTCAAAGTCAGCAAAGATCCGGTGAAGATATAATTGTCAAAGTTTTCGTCGGATCATTGCAACTACAGAAAATTTTGCTTCGAATGTTTCTTTTTTTGTAGATGAAAATGTGTCTTATTATCACTTGGGGGTGGGGTAGAAATCGAGGGCGCTGAAGTCTCCAGAACGGACGTAGGGAAGGAGTGAGCCCTCCGCAGTTCTGTGCCTTTGTGGTTTTTATAACATTCTGGGAGGGTATAAAAACATCATATGGTATAAGAGGGGTGGGGGTGTCTTTGTTTCTGGCCCCCGAGGAGGCCAACAAATTATTCTTACGATTTGATTTCCGTTGACGCTGAGGGACCATTAGGATTGCTGTTGGGAAAATTGCCTGTCATTCGGGCGTTTATCATACAGCAACAGGGCACTTGCAATGAAGCAGTCGCCGCCGACAGCTTGATATGTTCATTCCAGATCATCTTGGTGATACAGGCACAACGTTCTCACAGGACAAAGATCCCGGAGTCGCTCTTAAATTCCTAGTAGGTAACTTTTAATCCTGGGGTGAATGTTGACTCAAAATCCTACCACCCACACATACCAATTAACCCCCACACCCACATTAACCTAGCATATATCCATTATCCCCCCCCCCCCAAATAGTTAAACCTAACATTCATCCATTAACCCCACATATACCAATTAATCCCACATATACCCAGTAACCCCCATCCATTAAGCCCCTACACACTCATTAACTCCACACGCACCAATTAACCCCAAAAAACACCCATCGACCCCCAATATACACCCATTGGACACCTCCCAACCCCCCAGGACGAAACAATGAATGCGTGTAGGTCAGGTGTCTCCGTGAAAGAAGCAGGTCACATCTGGACGGACACGCCCCGCCTGCCGTTGATCCGATGAGTCATTCTAAGGACGTAAGGACGTCTGTGGTCTGGCTTGGGAATGGTGAGGGCCGGGAGTGGGACGACGGTCCGGTCCACCCTGACCCTGGCATTACCGGTACCGGTACTGACTGAACCTACTCATCACATCAGCCTAGTAGCCACATGTCACATCCCACACAGCAGATCTGATTTGGTTACTGCTAACGACTAATTCACACCAGTACCATTAAATGTTTGTTATATATATATATATATATATATATATATATATATATATATAATGTATATTATTTTAGTATATATATATTAACGTTTTCTACACCAGTACTAATAAATGTTTTTTATATATATATATATATATATATATATATATATATATATATATATAATGTATATTATTTTAGTACATATATATTAACGTTTTCCCCCATGACTCAGCCACTGGTGATGATGATAAAATACCTGGTACACCACTGAGGGCCATTGCGTTTTCTTTTCTATAATTTTTTAAACCTAACGTTGTTTTAATTTTTTTTTTTTTTACAAATGTCCCTTATTTTGATCCGGTGATTTAAAAGCTCTTGAGGATGACAGACAGCAGGATGATCCTGTGGCTACTGCTATTGCAATCGTTCCATTCGACAGTCATTATCTTTTTAACTTTTCCCCCACTGTGTCA